GAAGATACCCAAGTACATAGTTATCTTATAATGCTATTTATGGAGAGAAGAAATCTATTTGTCGAATATAAATATGCTCGTAAAGAATCATCGTACGTATATATACTTTCCTTTCGGATCGTACAGTTCGGGAAAAAAAACGTCGTAAAAATAAGACGCTAGATGGATGGACGGTGGTATCGATTCGAAAAAGCCGGAGGGTTTGAAATTATAAAGTCTAAGAAGGAAATGAAAAATAAAAGAGGGCTTCGGCTCGTAAAACAGAGTTTGACAGATTAAACGGGACTTCCGCGACGCGACTTTCCGCTCGTGTTCCGGTGAAACGTCTCGCGCTGTTATCATCGAAGAAGCCTTACTCCGATCCCGAGGCTGAAAGCAATCCCGCGGAAACACGAACGGAAACAAGAATAAGAAGAAGTTGCTGCTCTCTGTGTGTCCGAGTGTGCGAGAGAAAGAGAAGACAGGTGGAGAATACGAGCGAAAGATGAACGGGACTGCGGTGCATTGCTGTTGCTGTTGCTGTTGGTAGTGCTGGTGGTGGTGCTGGTGGTGGTGCTGCCGTTGCCGTTGCTCTTGTTGCCGCTGGCTAAGGCGAGTCTCCTCCCCAAGAAGAGAGGAATGTTCGTGAAAGTCTCGAGCCATTGAGCACGACGACGAACGAGTCACTATCGTTCGCCATTCGTGCGGTCCTTATCGTCGGCTCTCGAACATTAGGTAAGACTTTATGGTGGTCCGAGCACACGCTAAGGTCTCGTTTCCGCGTACGAAGGTTATTGCTCGGTTTCTCTGCTACTTCCCTTGCCCCCTTTTTCACAATTATTCATTCGCACCTTTTTCATCGTCCCATGAGAGAAATCGCGAATGCTCGCGATCCTTGACTCTCAACCCTTGGAATTCCATGAGAAAAACTGGAATATCTGAATGGTAAATGAGAGACGATCCGCGCGTAAAAGATTATAGCTGAATAAACGTCAGGGTTGCGCATATACTTGATCCTTTTGCATATTCCGAGCGACGAAGTACAGCCGGCTGGTCTTTCCGAAGGTCGCGAGACCAGATTGCATTTTCCAGAGAACTATCGAACGTTGACCCAAGTATTCGACAAATTGTCGATTCACGTAATAGTAGAATACAAAGATATATAACAATGACTTATTTGTTCTTTATTCGTTCGTCGTGCAAGTGTCGCGTTATAAGCGAGCTATTTGAAAAGAAACGGGAACGTTTGCTAAGAGAACGCTTGTCTATAGATAATGCAATCTGTGGCAAGCAGACAAAACGATGTTACGTTATTACCTCGACGATATGCGGTAAGCATCCGTGAGAGGCCACGCGTTCCCTGCGAACGCCGAGTAACAGCTGTTCGCGCGAAAAACTCTCACAATCGGAGAACTACCTTCAATCCTGTACGTTGGAATTATAATACGCACTGGACGAACGCTTTCTCCGTGCCCGGTGGATGACCCACGATGACATCCTTTCGATTCCACTTCATTTCTTATCTTCCAAAATCTTACTAATCTTTTATTCTTCCTTGCTCAATCTATAATCACTCGATATTTGTTCTACTACGTATAGTATATTGTCATCTACTTGTCATCTACTATATACTTCTTAATATTATATCATTACTTTGGAAGTATTTCTCATTGATTTTCGGCTCGTTAAAGTATTCGAAAGTTAAGATTTTCTAATTACAAATTATACTTATTATATAGTATAATACAGTATTGCATTACTTAATTTACTAGTAAACTACTAATGTATTAATAATACTATGCTAAGCATATATAATTAGAACGTACGTAATAATAATACAGTATAATATTATAATTACTAGTAAAGGTTGGTCCAAAAGTTTCTAGTTGATTTGAAAAATTAATTACACTTTTTAAACTTGTAATTACTATCTATACTAATAGAAGTTATGCTATACATTGAGCATCATAGAATATTGTCTTTTTTTTTCTCTCTCTTTTTTTCCCGTATGCAAATTTACAGATGAATGACAAACGAGTCTCGCACGGTGAATTCTACAATACATAGATACATAAATACATAGATTTGTACATACAACGGTGAAAAAGAAATAACGATTCTTCTCGTAATGAAATGCTTTCCGGGAGCTCGGCCTAAAAACCGAATATGCCATCGCTGATCGGCGAAGTATGGAAAATGACCGGCGAAAAGAAAAAAAGGGGGAAAGGGGGAAAAGGGGAAAAAATAGACAGAAAGAGAAAGAGACCCTTCGCGTTCTTGGAACGTTAACGTGCCGTGACGTTGCCCCGTTAGACACACTCCGACCAAACTCGGCCCGCACTTTAACTTGGATCGTGAACTTTCTTCTTCCCGCTCTTTTGTATCCCCAACGGATTCTCACCGTAACGATCCCGATCTCTTCTTAGAGAATTATATCTTTTCTCTTTTTTTCTTGTATTTTTTTCTTACTCTCTAACTCTCTCATTCTCTCCATCTTAAAAGAAAACTTGTAAAGGGTTATTCCGTTAAATATGCACTTTTATATCGATAATATCAAACGTTTGTTTGCTTCTTTTCGAAATAGTTAACCTTTGTTTCCCTTAGTCGAGAAACACGAATACGATAACTCCAGTATCTAAGGAATAAGATAAAATTAGACATTTATAGGAAAGGTGTGCCGCCGGTCACGCACAAAAGAGATTCAACTTTCGTCCCTTATCTATCATCCTTTATTTCTTTCCACCAGCGAGAAAGAAATTTTTCAAATGTCCATCTCTCTGTCTTTACGTCGAGAAAGCCATAACATCTTTTTCCCTCGGCAGTCGTAAAAATCGCGCATTGTGTTTGGCTGCAAGCGGAAAGATGCCCGTTTCCATCGGCATTGTTTTCTGGTTCCGAGGATCGTTCGCCGGTCAGGGATCCTCTTCTCCGGAGATGTTCTCTCGAGGGTAAGAGAGAGATGGAAAAAGAGAAACGGAGAGAACGAGATATATTTCACCGATCGAAGTAACAGATTTAACGCATTACAGACGAATGACGAGATATCTTTCCATTTCGTATTTCAAAATTAACCAGTTAACTGTGACGACTTTTTTCAAAAGTGTGTACCAAAATTGTATCAAGCAAATGAAGCAACGACGAGTATACCCCTTAAGTATGGAATACGCGTAAATATTGAATTAAGTTGAAATCAATCCTTACTTACGTTATTATCTCTTTTGCACAACGAAAGATCTACAAAGAGACATTGGAAAAAGCCGACGACGAAAATGACAACCGATCGAATCAGAAATATATATCATATATTTTTTATTATATGCTATACCAATTGTTCCTAAAGTTTGCAAACGCAACCCTGATGCAGTCCTGACGCAACCCCGCGATTTCTTCACAGGGATGCCGCGGAATATTACACAATTTTCATCAGCCTTTCTAGCGATTGGTCAATCGAAGCAAGATGCATCTTTTAGGTCGAAAACATGCCAACTACTCACGGACCAAACTCTTCATTTTTATACTGAAAATATGTTTAGATGCAACTAATTTCTAACTAACGATAAAACATAAATGTAAAACGCAGAATAATAAAAGGAAACCATTACGTGTAATTTATAACTAATATTGGTAAATTCGAATTCCGTTCAACTACTAAAAGGAAGGATTATGAAATTCTATTCTCTCTCTTTCTCTGTACGCACACAATGTGTCTTTCGAAATGATAAAACTTCCTGACTTTCGTTTAACAAACTACTTTTGGCGTCTAGGCTTATCTATCCGTTAATATAACGCACACCTGCCTTTTTACATATGCGGAAACATAGGTGAAACTTTGGAACAATTGGAAATAGGGCGTGCAGCTTGCTTCACGTTTCAGCAAATAGAGAGACACGTGATCTACAGACTAGTTCGAGTGAAAGATTTCAATGTTAAAAAAAAACGAAAATTTCTTCCTATTTCTAATCTTCGACTTTCTAATATATTCAAGCTTCAGAAAACAAATCTATACCGAATGAATATATGAAAAACGAAATGACCAGCTATTAACATCGAACAAAATGATGAAAATAAATATGAGAGCTTTGACGGTGAAAAAGAAGAAAAATATAAGGAAGAAAATTACGAATCCTCCAAAATAAAGCAACTCAAAATGAATTAGTTATAAAATATAAGAATGTTAGCAGAAGCGGGCTGATTAGCGCGCCACCAAGTCCTGAATTCAAAAGATTTGGTGTTGGCGGGCCGCATGAAAGCGTAAAAAACGAAATACGATGACTGCACTGGCTTCGTTCGTTGATTCGTACCTACGCTTGTTTCCTGTAAAACGTTAGATCGTCTCCACTCACCGATGATCACGCTCCCTTTCCCACGTTGCTGAGCACGTCAAGATCCGACACGCTCCTTCCAAGAGACTACTTTCAACTGTGAAACTGAAGCTGTTTTTCGTCGTCCGCTGTTGTCAGAAATAGTTGGTCGATGCCACACAATCCTCTACCTACCACAATGTCTACCGTAAATTTGTCTTTATTACCAATTAGACTTTATTCGAACACTAAATCTTGAGAAACTTTGAACGCTCACTTTTCGGGACATGCAAAAGAAAGAATAATAGGAAAAGGACACGGTAATTGTTGAAATAATCCCAGTAAATGTCTCGGTGGTGGTGTTCGTATGACGTTAGTATGCGCGCGATGTTTACATCGAACTAAAAGAGATCCGTTAGATCCGTAGAGATTCGAAGACTGCGCGGCGTTACCAAGTCGATGTCTTGAAAGCAAGTGCGAGCGGCGCGCTCGCTGCTTCTCCTAATCGAGATCAAGAGCCCTCTCTCCGGCGCAGTTGTTTATCTCACTTGCACGCTACTTTTTACCCCCCACCGACAACGTGTATCCCCACGTACAACGGTGCATCTCCTCTTTCCTCTTTATTTTTCAATAAATTACAACTAATCATTTTTTTCTACGCGCATACGCATACGCATACGCATATATACATATAAGTATAAGGGCAAAAGGGTGTATTACCTGCAACGAAGATCGAAACGCAATATGGCTGTTCCTCGAACCTCCCCATTCTCCGTTCTCCATCCATGCTTCTTCCCTGGTCAGCAAATTTTCGGTGGACGATCGAAAATTACAAAGCCTCCAGGCGATCCTTTCCTTTTTTCGTCGATGCACTTAGCCCCCACGCGAACCAATCACGATGTTCCTCAACGACGAAGGATAACCATTTGGTGAGACCACCAAGATCTTTAAAAGAGGGAGGGCCACTTTCGCGAGAACGGATATTACGTTAATCTCGAGCAGTAAGATTTTATTTGTTTCCTTTTTTCATTTTTTTTCTCTTCTTTCTCGATATCGAACTACGCATTCTCTTTGGTAAGAAAGAAATAAAGAGTCTCAAAACCTTTTCCGTTCACGTGGATGAAATCTTGCGAGTCTGATGAACAGAGTAGATAACGTGCAAAAAAACGAACGGAAGAATAAAGAGAAAACAATGAAAAGTGAAGAAACTCGCGTTATACTACTCTATTACTGTTATAAAATGTCAGATTGTAGATAGATATATGTTCTTCGAATCACATGTATATATTCATAATAAAATGTAAAAATTGCAAACATTCGATCGAGAAATTCTATAAATACACTATCTATACTGTATTCAAATTGCAATGCTGTCTATGCTCGAAAAAGTACCGTTATATAATTTTCTTAGATAAGAATAGAAACGTTTAATATATATA